AAAAGTATAGGAACAGAAATCAGATTAGTAGCTAACAGGGGCTGATGGTGCGGGGAGGGGATCGACTACAAAGGGATACAAGGGGCCTTTTTGAGGCAACAGAAATGCTTTATATTGGGAATGTGGTGGTGGTTATGTAACTATACATTTGTCAAAACTCATCAAACTGTACCCTTAAAAAGGGTGAATTAAATGAAAATTATATATCAATAAACCTGACTTAAAAAAATAATAAAACAAACCTAAAGAACCAATTAAGTAAAAATAAATCTAAGAAAAAAAAACTTACAGTTTTTCCAGTTCAACAGTCATCGTGAGAATGTTCTTAAGTGTTGCAAGTGGGACTTGAGTTGTTCCCATGTCTCTGAAGAAGAAAGCCAAAACATTCATGGTATGAACCCCAATAAAAAATTCTGTACTTAAAAAGATAATTCAAAGACATGTGATTACTTCAATATTGGCTTCTCTATAAAACAAGCCAGCTCAACAGTTTATTTGCCGCAGAATTCCAGAGACCTCTTATTAAAGAAATTTGATTTGCATCATCAAATTAATGATATTCAAGAATAGAACTCACACTTTTTTTTTTTTTTACCATTTATCTTACTTCTCATTTCATATTGCATTCACCCATCTTGATTATTTACCCTTTTCTTCTTTTTTAGAATAATGAACACCTATTCTTCTTTGCTTTCTTGGTTAAGTAATATTCTTCCATGTGTCTACATGTTCCAAATCTATACAGGTTCTTCAACACTGTTCTCTTCCCCTGCTGGCTGTCTTGACCATTACACATCCTTTCTTAATCCTTTTCTTTGCCAATAACTTTTTTCAATAACTCAGTTAAAATTTAAATTATGACTTTTTAGCCTAAATGCAAAATACTTAATCTTTGATGAAAAATTTAAAAAGAGCATAAATCATCTCATGACTCATGAAAGTACTATAGTACTTACAAATATTTTAATGCCGGCAATTTAAAGAGATATGGATCTTCAACAGTTGTCAGAGGATTGCGATTGAGAATTCTGAAAAATGCAATAGAATTAAAATTATCTGCATTTTCAAAGTGTGAAATTGCATAAAAAGTTTATATTCATTTTTTGGTATGGAACTTGTAGGTAAAAAAGAAAAATCATTTTCTGTTTTTACCTAATAAATCACTATTAGACTTCATAAAGCACTATTCCTTTGGGAACTACCTAGATCTCTAGAAGATAAAGTAGAGGAGAGAAACAGGGGAAGAAATAGAAAAAATTTAAAAAAGTGGATAGCAAAGAAAAAATATGCCACAGAACTTTTCAGGTCAAAAACCCTAGAAGTGACTATGTTGGTAGGAAGCCCCGACTCTGTAGGAAACACTATTTCTAGTGTCCGCCATAATTCAGGTTGCTTGTCCATAATTCAAGTTGCTCATTTTTGTTGTTGTTGCTGTTTTGTTTTGTTTTGTTTTTTTCAGATGGAGTCTTGCTCTGTCACCCAGGCTGGACAGCAATGGCTCTATCTTGGCTCATTGCAACCTCCACCTCCTGGGTTCAAGCGATTCTCCTGTCTCAGCCTCCTGAGTAGCTGGGATTACAGGTGTCCGCCACCACTCCCAGCTAATTTTTGTATTTTTAGTAGAGACTGGGTTTCATCATGTTGGCCAGGCTGGTCTTGAGCTCCTGACCTCAGGCGATCCACTCCCTTCAGCCTAGCAAAGTGTTAGGATTACAGGTGTGAACCACTGTGCCTGACTGCTTGCCTTTTATCTTTGCAAAGTTTTTCAAATTCATGGTTTAATCTGCACAGTTAAGGAAAAAAATAGGACCAATTCTTTTGCTTTATAGCCAAAGAAAAAGGGATAAATCTAAGAGAAGGAACGGGTCAAAACCATACTCCCATCACATACTCCCACTTGTCTTCTTGTATGACATCACAGCCTTTGTTACATTGCATGTAATCACCTGTCTACTTGTCAGTCTCCTGGACTATCAGCTCCTTGAGGGCAGAGACCACATCTTATTCTCATTGTCATCCCTATGCCTGGCATGATGTCTGAAATTTACTAGGCATTTAATAAATGTTTATTGGGCCGGGCGTGGTGGCTTATGCCTGTAATCCCAGCACTTTGGGAGGCTGAGGTGGGCAGATCACCTGAGGTCGGGAGTTTGAGACCAGCCTGACCCACATGGAGAAACCCCTAACGCTACTAAAAATATAAAATTAGCTGGGTTTGGTGGTGCATGCCTGTAATCCTAGCTACTTGGGAAGGCTGAGGCAGGAGAATCGCTTGAACCTGGGAAGTGGAGGTTGTCGTGATCCAAGATCGCACCACTGCACTCCAGCCTGGGCAACAAGAGCAAAACTGTCTCAAAAAAAAAAAAAAAAAAAAAAAAAGTTTATTGAATAAACAAATGACATTTTGTTTATATGTCAATAAAATGAATACATTCATTTCGATGGGATTTTTTATTCCAAAATGCTGCAATCTATTTTCTTTTTAATTCTTTTAAGTGAACAAGAAAAAGAAAAGAAACAGGAAGAAATAAAAGAAAATCAGCCTTTACATTAACCCAAGAATCATCACTATTGCAGAAATTATAAAAATAATAATTATTACAGTGAGTATCTATTGGGCTGCTAGGTGTTTGTGATCGGTATTTCACATTTAATCCTCACAACAACCTTATGTGCTAGATATTATTGCCCTATTTTATAAATGAGGAAACTGAGGTTACACAACTTGTCCTAGGTCACCAAGCTATTAAGAAGCTAAACTGCCGGTGCGGTGGCTCACGCCTGTAATCCTAGCACTGTAGGAGGCTGAGGCAGGCAGATCACCTGAGGTCGGGAGTTCAAGACCAGCCTGACCAACATAGAGAAACCCCATCTCTACTAAACAGACAAAATTAGCCGGGTGTGGTGGTGCATGCCTGTAATCCCAGCTACTAGGAGGCTGAGGCAGGGGAATCGCTTGAACCTGGGAGGAGAAGGTTGCGGTGAGCCAAGATCGTGCCATTGCACTCCAGCCTGGGCAATAAGAACAAAACTCCATCACCCCCGCCAAAAAAAAAAAAAAAAGAAAAGAAAGAAAGAAAGAAAAAAGAAGCAAAGCTGTTATCTGAACTCATGTGCTTAATCTGTAGGAAGAAAAAGGGTTTACTTTAACTTTATGGGTTTTTACATTTTTCTTTTCTTTCTTTTTCTTTCTTCATTTCCCTCCCTCCTTTCCTTCTTTTGAATCAACATTTCCATTTATTGGCCAGGCATAGTGGCTCATGCCTGTAATCCCAGCACTTTGGGAGGCCAAGGCGGGCGGATCATCTGAGGTCAGGAGTTCCAGACCAGCCTGACCAACGTGGTAAAACCCCATCTCTGTCAGAGTCTCGCTCTATCACCAGGCTTGAGTGCAATGGCATGACCTCAGCTCACTGCAACCTCCGCCTCCCGGGTTCAAGCGATTCTCCTGCCTCAGCCCCCTGAGCAGCTGGGATTACAGGCACCTGCCACCATGCCCGGCTAATTTTTGTATTTTTAGTAGAGATGGGGTTTCACCACGTTGGTCAGGCTGGTCTCAAACTCCTGGTCTCCCAAAGTGCTGGGATTACCGGCATGAGCCACCACCACGCCCAGACTTCATTTATTTTTTATAACTTTTATTTTAGGTTTAGGGGTACATGTGCAGGTTTCTAATACAGGTAAATTGCATGTCACAGGGGTCTGGTGTGCAGATTATTTTGTCACCCAGGTAATAAGCATAGTACACAATAGGTAGCTTTTTGATTCTCACCCTCCTCCCACCTGCCATAGGAACAATACATCCCCGGTACCTGTTGTTCCTTTCTTTGTCCATATGTACTCAATGTATAGCTCCTACTTATAAGTGAGAACATGTGGCTCCCAAAGTGCTGGGATTACAGGCCTGAGCCACCCTACCCAGCAACAAGGCTGATTTGAGGGTCACTTGTTTGATGCCTTTTCTTGCCCATGCCAAAGATCAGAACTAGCACAAGCAGAGCAAATCATATATAAGCTATGTACGTCTCTTGGCCTCTTTGTACCTTAGTTTCCCCATTTGAGAAAAATGAATGGATCTTAAGACACCCTTTTCAGAGTTCATAATGGAATTGTACCCAGCTAACCAATAATTGTATGTATTTTTATACATAAATAGTTGTTTACATGTATTCATCTTCTATTTCACTTACAACTTGTGTAAAAACTGCATTCCATGCCAGGCCTGAAATGTTCCAAAGCTCAGTTCTGTGAGTAAATTGCAACCAAGATTTCTACAAAAAAAGACACAAGCCAAAAGAAAAAAAAAAAATTCAGAACATTTATCATTTGCTGTGATTCTAATTTATATAGGATGGAACATAACCCTAATCCTTTCTCTATGCACTAAGGAAATCTCACCGTGGAAGATACTGGCTTATGATTTATACTTTAGCATTGCACATGTGGTGCATTAGCTACAAAACAGTGAATGCTCAGTAAATACCTGTGATAAGTGATCTTTATTTCTCTAGAACAGGATTTCACAACTTCAGTACCATCGACATTTTGGACTCTATAACTGTTTGCTGTGGGCATTTGTCTTGTACCTTGGAGGATGTTTAGCAGCATCCCTGGCCTCTGCCCACTAGATGCCAGGAGCACACCCACAGTTTTGTCAACCAAAACTGTCTCTGGACATTACCAAATGTCACCTGAGTACACAATCACACCAGTTGAGGACCACTGCTTTCTCATGATTCACTATGATCTTTGTAATTCTCACACTAATCTTTGCTAGAGACAAAAAGGATTTGCTATATAATTTTAGTAGCTTCCTACTGGTAAAATTTTAATCGTATTTCAAAGAGGTTTATAATTAAGTTTTATAAAAATTCCAAATGTAATCAAGTTATATTTGTAACTTACATATATTGCAAAAATGGTAGTGGTTCAAATGTATGTCTTTCAATAGACTGTATTTTATTGCAGGATAAATCTCTAGGAAAAAGTAAAAGAAAAATATTGCCTTGATTAGTTATTAGATGTAGATTAGTATGAATAATAGCAAGAGTTTAGAATAATATTGAATACACATTTTTCATCTCAACTCTAAATGTCTCGACTTGTGTTTGAACTTTCCAGAGCCCCTAACCCTGCCCATACCTCTCCTAGAGTCTCACCTTCATGGTTTTCATAAATAGAATATACATGTTAATAGACTTTGGAATGAATTTTTCCTGAGAGCAGTAGACTTGATTAGATGCCCTTTTGTCGTCTCATCAAATCCTAGATTATGAGCTCAAAGTTTTTACATATAGTTTCTAATACTAAAAAAAAAAGTCTCACATTTATACACCTTCCTAGTTTAGGTCTGTTTTCCTAAGCCAGTTCAATATCAGAAGAAATAAAAGACATTCTTTCACATCATTTGAAAGGAAGTTACCCCTTTAACTAACACATAACTTTGAACTAATTCAAATCATATTCATAGAATCAATTTCTATCATATTAATAGAAACTCATTTTTGGTTTTATATTGCTTTAATATTTCATGAAAGCAATTTCTTCAGTTACACAGTGATGGGACTGGTCCCTCCCTCTTTACCTGGATGGAATAATGCTGTCTGGCTGATGTCTCCATTTCTAGTCTCTCCCTTCCTAAACTATCCTGCACACAGTCATCAGATAAACTCTCCACAAGTGGTTTGCAAAGACCAGCATCTCCTGGGAAATTATTGAAGATGCAGATTCTTGGTTCCACTCTAGACCAACTGAATCAGTAACCACGAGGGCGGATCCGGAACTGAGTCTAACGCCCCTCTCAGTGATTGTGATGCAGATCTATCTACAGCACTGCTGCGGTAACACGCTTCCCCATGATGGCTCCTCAGCTGGGCATTCAAAGCCCTAGAAGATCTGGCTCCAATTTCCTACTCTTCCTCCTTGTACTCTACAGGTACTCATGGCATTCCTCGAACACTTTCCTGCGCTTTGCCCTTCTCCCATTTTCCTTTTGCAAGTTTAGAATACTGTCCCTAAGATGTCTGTCCGATGTTACACAATGGCCCTTCAAAGTCCTATTCAAACGGCATTGTTCTAGTAACATCTTCCTGGGTCCAGATTGAAGGCATTTTCCCCTTTTCTATGCTCCAGAAACAATGTATCCCTCCTCATGCCCACATCCATTTCTTCTTTTTAATGTAGTTATTTTTTATACCATTTCTTCTGAGAATAAACTCCTTGCAAGCATGGACTAGGTCTTGCTCATCTGCATTGTCCACCATGTTTAAAACTGACACATGGAAATAAAGCAAATTCAAATATTTGTTAAATAAATGAATAACTGGGGGAGTAGAAGGAAAATGACTATTTTAAAGGAAATGTAGTTTTATTACTTCATGGCCACGTAGCACTTTGGCATCCACTTGAGGGTCTTTATATCCACTTGCCTTAATTCCTCTACATTTGAAAGATTCTGTTTGCAAAACAGCATCACTAATGAGCTTAATAAGGATTAACGACATACACACCTCTATGGACAAAGGATAAGAATCAAGCTTCCATAGCAATGAACATTGTATCTTCTTGTCTCTAAACAGACAGAAATACTATGTGGGTATCCCTTTCTTGGTAACAGGGCTGGGGAGACAGTTATTTTGTAATTGGTGAAGAGTTAGGGGCATTTCTGGTATGCTTCTGAGTGTAAACATTTCTAGCTCTACCACTTAACCATCATTTTAAACATCTGTTTTCATATAACAATTCCTGAAATGAAACCCTTAATACTAGTCTATTCTATTGGTAGCTTAATATTCTTGATCTATTATTTATACAATTCAGCTGATTTTTAATATTTACTGTTATTTTAATTCATATTAAATTACCAAAAATTTCTGGATTAATGATGTTCAAATGAATGTAGGTGGTCTATATTTTCTTCTCCTTTAGGCAACAATCTGAAGTTAACTTTAATTCCTTTCATCCTACTAAACCAACTTTTTCAAATCTTTTTTTGTGAAAGTCAGACAGTAAATATTTTAGGCTTTGTGGGCCACATATGATCTCTCTCACATATTTCTCTTTCTTTTCTTTTACTTTCGTAGTCCTTTAAAAATGCAGAAACCATTCTTAACTTAATGGGCTATTTAAAAATAGACCATGGATTAGATTTGATCTATTGGTTGTAGACTGAATAGAAGAAGATGGTGTGTGAACCCTTATAAAAAAAGGTTCATATGAGTGTCAGTCACTGCTCAGATCTTCTTACCATGTGAAACTTTTTTCTGTCTGCATTTTGTCTATATAATTTAAAAACTGAAAATGCATAGGACATAGCTAATGCTAGAGATGGGCTGAGACCCTATACAAACCTACAGAATTGCAGAATTTTATTGCTGGAAGAAATCTTAGAGATTATCTAATTTGAACCCCTTATTCATTTTACAGATAATACGACTAAAAACTCATAAATGTGATTAACTAACTTACAAATACTGGAGGGATAGCAGGCCTTCAAATGAATCCTTATGTAATTCAGTCAAATAATTTTCATTGAGAATTCTGGAAAATGAACAAGTTATTTCTAGATTAAAATCCTAAGTACAACTATTTGCCGCACAGGACTATGTCCTGCATGTGGGGGAAAGCTGGGTCATGGTCATTTCAAGACGGTGGTATCTGCTCTGCTTTCATTCAAATATTTTCTTACATTTTCCTTGTTGTGTCCATCTCTGTCCACCACTACACACACACACACACACACACACACACACAGGCACACACAGGAAAGCGCACACACACACAAGCACACCCCTACCCACTCTTCCCACCAAACTGCCTCCTCTCTAGATCCCAAAGTCCCTGTTAGAATCCACCTCTGGGTGGCACCAAGATCAGCAGAACTTCCATTTTCTCCTCTTTTCCCAAACCTAATGAAAGCCCCACACGGAATCATGTCAGGGCTGCAAGTGAAGCCATTCAACCTTTTACCCCCATCAAAAAAAATGTGAGAACTACAATGTGCATACAGTGTACAGGACATCAATGTTCTTTGTATTTTATTTAATTTAATTTCTGAGGGTCTCACTCTGTACCCAGACCGATGTCAAACTCCTGGCTCAAGTGATCCTCCTGTCTCTGCCTCCCAAAGTGTTGTGATTGCAGACATGAGCCACCTCACCTGGCCAAATATTCAGTTTAATAATTAAAAAGGAGATACCCATATTGTTACAAAAGAACATTGCTACCATCCCAGAAGCCCCAGTGTGCCCCTTTCCAATCAAATCCCTCTCTCTAACCCAAATTAGGTAACAACTATCCTGACTTTTGTAATAATTGTCTTGCTTTTAAAATGTAGCTCTGGCCTGGCATGGTGGCTCATACCTGTAATCCCAGCACTTTGGGGAGCCAAGGCAGGTGAATCACCTGAGGTCATGAGTTCAAGACCAGCCTGGTCAACATGGTGAAATGCTGTCTCTACTAAAAATATAAAAATTAGCTGGGCATGGTGGCGGGCACCTGTAATTCCAGCTACCCGGGAGGCTGAGGCAGGAGAATCGCTTGAACCCAGGAGGTGGAGGTGGTGGAGGTTGCAGTAAGCTAAGATTGTACCATTGCACTCCAGCCTGGGCGACAAGAACAAAATTAGGTCTCAAAAAATAAATAAAGCAATTCTCCTGCCTCAGCTTCCCAAGTAGCTGGGATTACAGGCACCCACCACCACACCTGCCTAATTTTTGCATTTTTAGTAGAGACGAGGTTTCACCATATTGGCCAGGCTGGTCTCAAACTCCTGACCTCAGGTGATCCACCTGCCTAGACCTCCCAAGGTGCTGGGATTACAGGCGTGAGCCACCGCACCTAGCATGTGTTTTATTTTTAATTTAGAACTCACGTATGGCTTGTCTATATAAGTTGAACTGGTAATGTGACACACAAACTGTTGTGAAAAATGCCAGTTACTTCGAATGTAAGCATTTTTTCCAAAATCATTTGTGTCTAAATCAATTCCTTCTACAAATCAGTAAGAAAAGGATAAAACAATTCAACAGGAAAAAGAACAAAGGATAGAAAACTCAGAGAAGAAACACAAATGTTCCATAAACATATAATGATATTTAATTAAATTCATGAGTAATCAGAAAAATTCAAATTTAGGTGGAATCACTTTTATTCATCCATAACATCAACAAAAAGTTGGAGAATACCGAGCGGTGAAAAGGTGTGGGGAAATGAATGATGTCATCTCCCCACACCTTTTCACCGCTGGGTATTTTCCAACTTAGAGTAAGTTGGCACAACATTTTTGAGGGCAATTAAAATTTTATATCTACATAGTCTTCACTTCAACAATTCCATTTCTAGATATCTATGCTACAGGAATACTTGCCCATGTTCACAAAGAAGCATGTACAGGGATTTCACTGCAGCAATGCATGTAACAAGAAAACTAAGCATAATCTAAATATTCATCAATGGGGGAATTATTAAATAAACTATGATGCATCCAGACTAGGGATGATGCAGGAGTTTAAATGAATGGGGTGACCCTCTGAGTACTGGGAAGGAAACAAATCTAAGGCATATCATGAAGTGAAAGAATCAAATTGCAAGATGTTACCATTTATGTAAAGAAAAAAGATTTTTAAAATCACACAGCAAATCTATTTTGCTTTATGTAAATATATATGTAGGCAAATGGGAAAAAGTCTGGAAGGATGTACACTAAATGCAGAGTAGCATTACCTCAGGGATGAGGGAGTAGGGCACAAGGAGGGTTTTTGTTATACCTGTTATTGCATTTTTATACATTAAAAATAGAATCGGGCTGGGGGTAGTGGCTCATGCCTGTAATATGAGGATGTTAGGAGGCCAAGGTGAGAGGAGAACTTGAGCTCAGGAGTTCAAGACCAGCCTAAGCAGCATGGGAAGACCCTGTCTCTACCAAAAATACAAAATTGGGTGGGCGTGGTGGCATGCACCTGTGGTCCCAGCTACTTGGGAGGCTGAGGTGGGAGGATCGCTTGAGGCTGGGAGGTGAAGGCTGCAATGAGATGTAATTGTGCCACTGCACTCCAGCCTGGGGGACAAAGTAATATCCTGACTCTGAAAAAAAAAGAGGAAAAAAGAGAATATAACCATGTATTATTTGTATGATAAATAAATTTAAGTTGCCTCTTAAAGAGAGCCTACCAAATTTAATTTTAAAATAACCATAGGATTGCAATCAACAGAGGCTGATTTGGGGAATGGAGGGGAAATATCTTTTTTCAGAGGTATTGACCTCAAAATTCTGGACCGAGAAGGATCTTACAATGCAGTTAGTTTTCTGTCATATTCAGAGAGAATATATACTCACAGTTTCTCAGTCCAACTGTATGCTTTCCATACATTTCCATCAATGTGAGAAATATAGTTTCCTTGGAAATTTCTGTGAAGAAACACAGTTTATATCCTTGAATAGGTAGGAAAAGAATGAACAGGATAAGTAAAAGAATCGTGGCAACCTTGTCGGGGATATTCAGTTACAGAAAATAACACCTGCTTTCTCATTTCCAGAGCTATCAGCTTCCCAGTTTTCACAATTCATCAAGAAACAATGCGGGGCCACTGGCACAAATGATGAGGCATCTCCTGGAAGCTTAACTTCCTATCCGTCCCATCTCTTGGACAGACGATGCCAGTTAATTACTTTGAATGTAAGTATTTTATCAAAAAGCACTTATGTGTCTAAACAAACTCCTACAAATCAACACAAAAATGGTAAATAATTCAACAGAAAAATAGGCAAAAGCTTATCACTATCAATAAATAAGTAGAAAGAAACCCTATGCCAGGTAGCACCAAAGCTTTGCCCTCTGCTGAAACATCCTAGGCTTTTTCTTTCCACTCTTATTACAACCGATCTGATTTGGACCCTTCACACTTTACTCCTACGTTTTGCGAGACTTTTCTGTGTTGTCTCCCAGAAATAAGCTATTCCTTTTGGGCGCTCTACATATGGATTCTAAAATAATCCTTTGCATGTCTACACTTGAACATAAAGCAAAAAACAAAATAAAATAATTCTCCTGTTTTAGTAATTTAACCTCTCTTGCTTGGAAACTTTCAATGGCTTTCCATACCTCACTGTGTAACTTTCAAACTCCTATAGCTGATAGTCAAGGTTTTACATAATCATATCTGCATTGCTCCCTCACCTAATTCTTTGCAGCCAGATTGGTCTACTAAATTCCAACCATACCTGTAGCCATGCCTTTGCCTAGACTGTACTCCCATTTTTTTTCTATTTAACAAATTATAGCTAGTCTTTAAGACCCAAGTAAAGTTTTAGCTTATCCATATAGCTTTCCTTGATCTCCGCACCTCAAGGATCACAGATTCTGGTAAATTCTAGCACCTATGGTCTGCATTTTCTTTTAGTGATTAATTATATATACCTCCCTTTTTATGCTTATTCTATTTCTTCCCTCCTATCATTTTCATGTTCTGGAGACAGTAGCATACTTGGCCCTGGGTTTGACACAAAACGAGTGCTACATATAGAAAGCCAGGGACAACGATGAGTTGTGGACATAACTAAAGGACTGAGTAATCATGTGAACAGCCAATACTTCTACATATGCTAGGCACTGATGAAGTGTTTCATATATTCACTCACCTACATTTCACAACAATCCTATGAAATGGGAACTAGCATAAACCCCAGTTGAAATGTGAGGAAACTGAGTCACAGAGCGGAATAACTTGCTCTGGGTCACCAACCTAATAAACAGACCTGGGTTCAACCCCAGGTAGCCTGGCTCCGGAATCAACTCTTAACCACTTAGAGCCTCATCACTGAGATCGGGAGAGGGACAGGCTGCTGTAAAGAGGGTGAAGCAAAAATGGGAGGAGAGCGGCGGTTAAGCAATGATGTGATGGGGCTAAATAAAAATGGATAAGAAAACGAGTAAAAGGCTAGAGTAAAAGTAAAAGACTGGAGAAGGGCCTAACATTAAAGGAGAATGAGGAGAAGGAAGAGCTGACAAGCAAAGGTGAAAGCAGAAAGTCAGTTGTCAGGATGGCTTGGGGAGATAAAGAAAGCCCAGGAAGGCCTCCAGGAAAAGGCTGCCACGTCAAGCAGGACACAGAGGACAATTGGGGAAAGGTGATCCTTACAAGATGGTGAAGGTGCCATTGTAGGTGTTGGGCTCTGGCACAGGCACTTGGCGGAGCCTCTGCTTTGGGCTGAGATCAATACATGACAGCGTCTCATCTCCACAGGTACAGAGCTCACATATGTTGGTGCTTGTGGAGGCCTTCTGTTCCTCTGGTACAGTTAAAGTCTTATTTTGGGCATAACTTACAGACTGCACCAGTGAATTTTGAGTAGGTTCTAGTTCAGTACGTGGACCTGTGACTTCGGTCAGTTTTCGATGCAGAGTCTGAACCTGGTCTGGACGAGGAGCTGTAGTCATCTCCAGGGCTGTAGAATGTCCAGTCTCTGTAGTGGGCTCGGGAGTTACGGCAAGCCCCGGGTCTGGAGGCTGAGTTGAGGTCTCCTCTGTGGTTGGAGATGGTTTAACCTCTGTAGTAGATTCTGTAGTTATGGTAAGCTCCAGGGCCAGAGGTTGAACTGTGACTTGAGTCAGGTGTGAATGCTGAGCCTGACCCTTGTCTGAAGGTGGAAGTGTCACCTCAGGGTGTTCTGGAGGAGGAGCTGTAGTCGTCAGGGCTGTGGAAGGTTCAACCTCTGTTGTGGATTCTGGAGTGCTGGTAAACCCTAGGTCCAAAGGTTGAACTGTGGCTTGAGTCAGGCGTGAATACTGAGTCTGAACCTGGTCTGGATGTGGAAGTGTCACCTTAGGATGCTTTGAAGGAACTAGAGTCTTCTTCAGGGGTGTAGAATGTTCAACCTCCGTAGTGGATTCTGGAGTGATGGTAAGTCCCAGGTCCAAAGGTTGAACTGTGGCTTGAGTCAGGTTTGAATGCTCTGGAGGTTGAGCTACAACTACATTAGGGAGCTCTGGAGTCTGAGCTGGGGCCTCCTGCTGGGTTAGAGAAGACTCACCCTCCTCAGCGGTCTGTGGATGCTCAGCTGCAGCCTCCTGCTGGGTTGGAGAGGGGTTCTCACTATTAACAGGTTCCGGAGATTGAACTGAAGTCTGTTGAATTGCTGAAGGTCCAGCCTCTTCCGATAACTCTGGAGGCAGAGGTGGGCCCCCGTGCTGGATGGTGGGAGGTTCTACATCATTACCTGGCCCTGAGAGCTGAGCTGTAGCCTCCTGGAGGACTGGAGAAGTTCCCACCTCTGCACTAGGCTCTGTTGCTATGGTGAGCTGCACATCTGGAGGCTTAACAGAGACACTGGGCAAATCTGAATGCTGAGCTTGATGGTGACCAGGAGGTGAAACTGTGACTTCATGATGTTCTGGAGGCTGAGCTGGGGCCTCCTGCTGGGCTGGAGAAGACTCAACCTCCCCAGAAGATTCCAAAGGCTGAGCTGGCTGCTCCTGCTCACTGGGGGAAAGTTCATGCTCCATAGGAGGACCTGGAGGCTCAGTTGGGGGCTCCTGTTGGGTTGCAGAAGGTTCCGCCTCCTCTGGAAACTGAATTGGCGCCTCCTGCTGGGCTTGGGAAGATTCTGTCTCATTGGTAGGCTCTGAAGTTATGGTAACCTCCACATCTGCAGGTTTAACTGTAATGTTGGGCAAGTTAAAATGAGCTTGATCCTCACCTGGAGGCTGAACTGTCACCTCACGATTCGGTAGAGTTAGACTCTCCACAGAGGATGCTGGAGGCAGAGCTGGGGCCTCCTGCTGGGTTGAAGAAGGTTCTTCCTCCTCAGGGAGCTGTGGAAACTGCCCTGGGGCTTCTTGCGGGAATGAAGAGGACTGGATGTCTTCAAGCGTCTCTGGATTTTGAGTTTCAGGCTCTAGATGGAATTGAGAAAGTCCAACTCGCTCAGGGGGCCCTGGAGGCGCATCTGAGTTCACCCGGAGTTCTGGAGGCAGGCTGCCGGGATACAGTGTGTCCATACTCGAATATTCATCCTGCAAAGTCTGTTTCTCACGCTGAGGTTTGGATAATGGGTGTGGAATTCCGACAATCTCAGCAAGGCTCCAACGCTCAGCTGGATCTTTCTTCAGGTTCTTGGGTGAAACAATAAATGTGGTTGGTTTTGAAATCTTACTGTCTAGCGGAACAAGTATTTCATCTGCCTGATGACCTGCAGCCCGATCTAGATCTGCAGGTGAAACCTTACTTTTGAGACGAGGAAGCTGAACTAGGGTCTGGTTCTGATCCCCGTCCAGCAGTGGGACCACCTCTGGGAGCCTTTCTTCCGGAGTCAGCTTGTCATTTAAATCCTGGTGTGCAGCGGAGAACTGCTCTGGCCCCAGGGGCAGCTCTTCAGCTGAATCTGTGTCCAGGAATGGAACCAAATTTTCAGTCGATTCCCGGGGTGGGGCTGACATCTGCGAGGAAGCAGAGGGCCCCAGGTAATCAAAGTCCCCCGGGTCTGCCGGGGGAGTGGGCACATGGGGAGAGTCCCATGGCAGATGGGAGGAGCGGGAAGACCGGGGCTCAGGCGGCCCCAGGGGGTTAGAGGTCAGCTGGAGTGGGTCCTGGACCCACTCCAGAGGCTGAGCCTCCTTGACTAGTAAACAGAATAGTTGCCGCATGAGGAGGGGCCATGGGCCCCAGAAACGCAGCAGGGACATGATACAGGCTGGAGCTCCGCACTGAGTGGGAGCCATTCTGGCAGCCCTGAGAGGCTCGTGCCCCTTATAAGCATGCGCCCCACCCTGTCTTTATGACAACTTTATTTATGCCATCTTTATACTCAGGTCCAGATCTGCTCCATGTCACCAGGGCAAGCTTATGTCACAATCCCACCCAAGCACCCCTTCCCACCCCGCCCGGCTGGAACACCCCTTCCCTCCCCTCCCCTTAGTGAGGAAGGATTTGGGCCGCAGACCCAGGTGGTCCCACGACTCCAGCGGCCTGGTGGGGTGGGGTGGGGTGGGGTGGGGTGGGGGCGCGGCAGAGCTTCCAAAGGAAGTCACAGGACCTCGCCTCACGATATTCACAAGTGCTAGTCGGGCTCTGGCAGCCTGAACTCTTCCTCCTCCAAGGCGAAATCCGAGCATACTCTTCCTTCCAGGGAGAGCAACTGAGCTGCAAAATGGGCGCCAGTTCGGGGTGGCAGGCACGACGCACATTACAGTCATTTATTCCAAAATGTTGCTGTTTTCGCTAAACTTTCGGTATCTTTTGTTGCATGTTTTGCATGTTTGATAATGAATTCACCACCCTACTAGGTAGGGGCTGCCAGGGAACAAGCGAGGACTCCACATTTTCTGTAGAAGGGGTGTTGGGGGTGGGCAATTCAGTTTGGGAAAGAAGGCTTTAATCCGAGTGAAGAGCCCTTTGCACTGGCCTGGGAGGAGGCTGAACTGTCATCCTGCCTTGACTCAACACAGCCATTACCCTAGAAGTTACAGCGCCACCCTTCAGAGATCTACCCTGTGTGCACACATGGAGAAGAGGCTTAGGCTGTTGAAGTCAGCATGTTAAATAATGTCCTGAAATGCGACTGTAATTAGAACACAGCTGACTTCCCCCACAGCTATTCTTACCTATTTTGTTACTGTCTGGCACAATTACCAGCATGTAAACTCCAAGAAGGTGCTTCATCTTATTCCAGTGCCTAGCAGAGGCACAGGGTGCATAGTGATGGTTTTAAAATGGAAGGGGAGCCAGGTGCGGTGGCTCACACCCGTAATCCCAGAACTCTGGGAGGCCGAGGTGAGTGGATCACTGAGGTCAGAAGTTTGAGACCAGCCTGACCAACATGGTGAAACTCTGTCTCTACTAAAAATACAAAATTAGTCAGGCATGGTGGTGCATGCCTGTAATCCCAACTACTCAGGAGGCTGAAGCAGGAGAATCGCTTGAACCTGGGAGGCGGAAGTTGGAGTGAGCTGAGATCACAACACTGCACTCCAGCCTGGGCAACAAGAGCAAAACTCCATCTCAAAAAAATAAAATAAAAAATAAAATTGAAGGGATTCCAAGATTCACCTCACTTAGGGATGGATCTATTGTTATAATTAGATTTGTGAAATCAGTGCTGACTTCCTCTCACATTTCATAGGAACCTAGACTTCTTAAAGCTTGAAGTTTACTGGGTGGGTTTTATTTAAATTGAATTAAAATAATTATTTTACAGGGAAAAACTTCAAAACACGTTGCAACTTTGGGGTGAAAGTTAAATATAACACTCTAGCCCCAAATTAAGTTCCCATTGAAATGAAACTTTTGCTCCTTTTTAAAAAAAATTCCATAAATAGTAAATAATGACTGTTTTCTTTTGAGATTAATTTAGAAACTTATTCCCTATTTAAGAGCTTTCATATGCAGTCATGCATTGCCTGCCATGTGAGGAGCTTTAGAAATGTGTCACTGGGTGATTTCACCATTGTGCTAACATCATAGTGTATACTTACACAAACCTAGGTGGTGTAGCCTAGAGTACACCTAGGCTATATGGTAGGGCCTAGGACTCCTAGGCTACAAACCTGTACCCTATGTTACTGTACTGAATAATAAAGGCAATTGTAACACAATGACAGGTATTTGTGTATGTAAACCTGGAAAAGGTACAGTTAAAATACTGTATAAAAGATAAAAACAGGGCCTGGGTGCAGTGGCTCACACCTGTAATCCCAGCACTTTGGGATGCCGAAGTGCGTGGATCATCTGAGGTCAGGAGTTCGAGATCAGCCTGGCCAACATGGCGAAAACCAATCTCTACTAAAAATACAAAAATTAGCTGAGTGTGGTGGCGCGTGCCTATAATCCCAGCTACTCAGGAGGCTGGGGTAGGAGAATCGCTTCAACCTGGGAAGTGGAGGCTACAGTGAGCTGAGATCGTGCCATCGCACTTCAGCCTGGGCAACAGAGTGAGACTCCATCTCAAAAAAACAAAAAAAACAAAAGACAAAAATAGTATACCTGTATAGGGATAGCTCCATCATAATCTTACGGAACCGCCATCATATATGTGGTCTATTGTTGACCGAAGCATCGTTTTGCAGCACATGATTGTAAATGATTGACAGAAAGATCTTCAGCAAAATATTCCACCCAAGATATATGGGAGATATTGAGATCCAAGTAATAAGCCATATTTGAAAGGCATTATAGTTTTCGAAAGCTGTAGCACAATCATTCTTAAGGCCAGTTAGTTTCTCCCCACATCTCTGGGATCCTGTTTGAAGGGAGTTCTAAAAAGGCCTGTGTTCAAGCAGCCCAGCATCCCTTACTCCTGGGGCTGGGGGAGACTAACCCCTCTACTGTGTCCACAACTGTAGTAATACAGTCCTCTCTCCCTTCTTAATCTAAGAATGACAGGAATTATCAGTAATGTTGTAGTGTAGATCAGGAATCCCCAACCCCAAGGCCATGGATGGATGGGGTATTGGTCCAGGGTCTGTTAGGAACCAGGCCGCACAGCAGGAGTGAGTAGCGGGTGAGTGAGCATTACTGCCTGGACTCCGCCTCCTGTCAGATCAGTGGCGACAACAGATTCTCATAGGAGCACAAACCCTATTGTGAACCGCACACAAAAGGGATCTAGGTTGCCTGATCCTTATGAGAATCCAATGCCTGATGATCTGTCACTGTCTCCATCACCCACAGATGGGACCATCTAGTTGCAGGAAAACAAGCTCAGGCTCCCATTGATTCTACATTATGGTGAGTTGTAGAATTAGTTCATTATATATTACAATGTAATAACAATAAAGTACACAATAAATGTAATGCACTTGAATCATTCTGAAACCACCCCCACCCCCAGCCTGGTCTATGGAAAAACTGTCTTCCATGAAACCAGTCCCTGGTGCCAAAAAGGTTGGGGTGTGCTGGTGTAGAGACTTCCGTAAAATAACCAAAATAGGGTTTTGCTATGTGGCTACTCTGGTAGCTCTCTATGAACTGAATTCACAGCCTTGTAAAATGAAGTCCTTCAAGTACCTTCAGTAACTAAAACTGTTCTGATGGGTTCATAACAAAATGATCTTATTCTAAGTTCTGCTCTATCATGAAGACTGAAAGTCCTATTGGATTTTTTTCTTTTCTTTTTTTTTTTTTCTGAGACACGGTCTTGCTCTTGTTACCCAGCTGGAGTGCAATGGCGTGATCTCAGTTCACTGCAACCTCCGCCTCCCGAGTACAAGTGATTCTCCTGCCTCAGCCTCTTGAGCAGCTGGGATTACATGTACCCGCCACCATGCCCGGCAAATTTTTTGTATTTTTGGTAGACATGGGGTTACTCCATGCTGGCAAGGCTGGTCTCGAACTCCCGACCTCAGGTGACCCACCCGCCTCAATCTCCCAAAGTGCTGGGATTACAGGTGTGAGCTACTGCGCCCAGCCACATTTTTCTTCGTTAATTTAAGAAGTCTCCAAGATGAACAGTGCCCTTCCATACTATGCATCCTGATCAAATCTGTATCAATTCTTAAGAAAGGTCTCAGCAAATTTTATATCAAGCCCTCCCTCCAGGTCAATTCAAGATACCTGAATACCATGTAAGGCTATTAAGTGCCTCATGAGTAGTAACAATTTCTCCCTTTTTCCAGTGTTACACTACCATTGCTCATTCTGTTTTTTTTTTTCAATTAGCATAGATTTTAAAGCTGTAAGGCATTAAACATTAAAACAAGTTCAATAGCATGGTCTCCTCTTACTAAAAAAACCAGTTTTGAGAATTATTTTCAGTAAACTTTAATAACATCTATAAAGTCTGAACGCAGTGCTCTACTATGTTAGGATACTTTGAAAGAATTACTTCCTAAAGGATCAGCAGTTCTTCACGACACATTTTTTTTACATTAAAGTTTTTAAAATTAAGTTAACCTGGATCCTGGATTCACTGTAACATTTTACCTAATTCATTTAATTCAGGCCAACACTATGAAGTCACAGTTATTATACTTTGATTTAAAAGGTATTTAGACTTTAGGTCATTTTGAATGAAACCAAAATTCATGTAACTTTAAATTCCACACTTACTTACTGTCTTCTAACTGTATCACTGTCATTTGGCCCAAGTTTGCATAAATCCAACCTCTGATCTATTTGAAATCAACAAAGAAAGCAATGAAAACATTACCTGATATCAGGGATTCTAACATCTATAGAGTGACAATAATTTTCCACAATCTATTAGAAATCAAACCTATCATTTAAAGAATTCAGATTTCAAAAACTATGAAGTACTGGTGTATTACATTGCCAATATGCAGTCATTTTCTCTCCAAAACTTTTAGATCACTTTAGGCTGAGTCTTAATAGTTGTTGTTCTTAAGGAATTTATCCCTGAGCCTTGGTTTTCTCACATATGACAATATGTGAATCCTTATATTTTTTTAAGGATTAAATCAGATAATTATGCAAAACCCTCAGCATAGTGCCTGGGACGTAAGTGGTCAACAAATGTTAGTTGTCATTATTATTTTGTAACTAACCATTTCAAATGACATGTACACAAAAAAGTATTAATAAGAAGCCAAGAATAAACTGTAGAATCTGGGTTTGCATCAGTTCTGCCACTAACTCATTCAGGAGCAACTCACTTATTCTCTCAGATGCCTCATCTGTAAAAGAGATATAACACTGGTCTGACCCTGAAGGTTACAGTAAGGAACAAGGTCACCCAAAGCACGCTGGTTTTACTTTGATTACAGCACTTATAGCTGAATGCTTTTACAACTGTATGCCATCTGTCTACTTATTTGTGAATTGATAAAAGGAGGAGACCATATCTTAGTCTTTGTATTTTCCACTCCAACCTGGTAGAACATTGCATCAGGTAGGTGCTCAAT